TCTCTATGAAGAATACGTTTGCATCGCTTACTACTCTCAAATCACACCTGAATTAATAAAAATTCAATTAGTTTAAAACCACAAAATTTCTGATTTTTTATTAAACAGATTAAAATAAGAACATAGGAATTAGACAAAAGTTACAGCCACAGGTCAAATTACACTAATAACGTAAAGCAGAAACACTGATAAAAACGCTTAGAAAATTGTCTCTTTAGATTTTTTCTCTCAACTTCTTCCCCTAAAATTCAAAACAAATTAATAATTCATCCCTAGTTATTATTGATGCAGGATATCAAACAGCTAGAAGAGGTGGTTGAAACTAGCAAGGCCATGGACAACAAGAATAGTTGCAACCATTTAGCATGGTCCACAGATTGGAAAAATTAAGAAGAAGATCGGAAAAAATGGGGAAGCCATTGGGTCTGGTGTGGGTCGAAAAGGTATCCATTTTTGTTCTAGTCAGAGATTTCCACGTGGTTCAGTAGAAAAATGACACGTCATTAAATGTAGGCCCACCAGTTCTGCCGTTAGTCGCGGGGGGTAATTTTATTAATAGAATTAACGTCGTGTGTTTTTTTGGACGGATAGATGGACGGAGGTATTAATAAACCATTTAGCAAACGATAGGGGTAGTTTTGGCCCTTTTTCGATTATTAAATATCTGGAGCCTATGACAGGAGATTTGTTTACAGCTAGATTTGCTGATAGTCATTTTGATGAATCAGTTTTTCCAACATTAGGGGGAAAAAATAAACAACTGAAAAAAGAGATAGATTGGAACGTATTATCTCTATCTCATTTGGATCCTCGTACAAATCGATGTGAACAAGAAGTTCAAAAGATCATTTATATGCAAAATGTTGCAAATCAATTGCCAGATGCATTTACTAACCTTCCAGGGGTTACTAAATCGCATATTCCAACTGTAAATGCTCCAATTCGAGTTGATGTTCCAGCTGGACAGTATGATAATGCAAATGAGTCTAGGCCACGACTTAAACGTGGTAGATCATCGAGGATAAGACGTAGGATAGACAATAAGAAAAGGACGAAGCAAAAAGAAGTAGTATGAAGGTAAGCTATTTCACAAAATCAGGTTCGTCTATAAATCGGAATCTAACAAATGAATAAATACGTCAAATGTATGCGGTAACAAGACGATGGAAATCAATAGATGAGGTCCAGAACTATATGTACAAGGGATTCAGAATGTGTGGGAATTAGATCAGAGTTGCAAATAAGGAATATCATAATATAAGCCTAATAAGAAGCCGTTGACAACTAGTCGCTTCCAAGGGTAAAATTCCCCGAAAAAAGAAAGGAGCAAATGATCAAGTTGATCATAACATGGAGGTAATTGCTCAAGAAGAGCATAAAGACATAGTAATTGATAAAACCTCACAGGAGGTTCTAGTACTTAGAAATGATGAAAATGAAGAGATCTCAATAAGTTATATCTCTACGGGAAAAAGGTAGAACCGAAGTAACGTTGTTGTTAACAACAGTTTTGCATATAATGTTGCAGTTGAAACAATGCAAAAAGATGAGGATCTTGAGCCAAAATCTATCGATGAACGAAGACAGAGAAATGATTGGCCAAAATGGAAAAATGTGATTCAAGCGGAATTGGCTTCACTCGAAAAACGTGAAGTTTTCAGACCAATAGTCCGAACGCCTGAAGGTGTCAAGCCAGTGAGCTACAAATGGATTTTTGTACGAAAACAAAATGAAAAAGGTGAAGTCGTAAGATATAAAGCACGACTTGTGGCACAAGGGTTTTTGCAAAGGCCTGGCATTGACTATATAGACATTCTCTTGTGGTAGATGCAATTACCTTCAGGTATCTAATAAATCTAGCAGTCCATGAAAAGCTTGATATGCGGTTGATGGATGTTGTCACAACCTACTTATATGGCTCACTGGACAATAAATTTTTTATGAAAATCCCTGAAGAATTTAAAGTTCCTGAAGCACGTAAAAGTTAAAGGGAAACTTGTTCAATAAAGCTTCAAAAATTCTTATACGGATTAAAGCAATCAGGGAGGATGTGGTACAATCGTCTTAGCGAGTGTTTTCTAAAGGAACGGTACAAAAATGACCTTATTTGCCCTTGTATCTTTATTAAGAGGTCTGGATCTGAATTTGTCATCATAGCTGTGTATGTGGATGACTTGAATATCATTGGCACTTCTAAAGAGCTTCCAAAGGCTGTAGAGTGTTTGAAGAAAGAATTTGAAATGAAAGATCTTGGTAAGACAAAATTTTGTCTTGGCCTACAAATTGAGCATGTAACAAATGGAATTTTTGTCTATCAATCAACATACAATGAAAATGTTTTAAAGCGATTTTGCATGGATAATACACATCCATTGAGCACCCCAATGGTTGTGAGATCGCTTGACATAAATAAAGATCCATTTCGGCCTCAAGAAAATGATGAAGAGCTCGTTGGTGATGAAGCTCCATATCTTAGTGCAATTGGGGCACTGATGTATCTTGCCAACAATACCCGATCATATATTGCTTTTGCAGTAAGCTTATTAGCAAGATGTAGCTCCTCTCCAGCAAGAAGACATTGGAATGGTGTTAAACATATATTTAGATATCTTCGGGGAACAATAGATATAAGATTGTTTTATTCTAATGAATTCAAGTCAGAAATGATTGGCTATGCCGATGCAGGTTATTTGTCTGATCCACATAAAGCCCGATCTCAAACAGGCTATTTGTTTACATATGGAGGTACAACTATATCATGGCGTTCAATGAAACAAACAATAGCTGCCACATCTTTAAATCATGCTGAGATAATAGCCATTCATGAAGCTAGTCGGGAATGTATTTGGTTGAGATCAATGACTCAGCATATTCAGGAAATGTGTGATTTTCTTATGAAAGAAGATAATCTAACTACACTATATGAAGACAGTGTTGCTTGCATCGCTCAAATGAAAGGAGAATACATCAAACGAGACAAAACAAAGCACATTTCACCAAAGTTTTTTTTCACGCATGATCTTCAACAAAAATGGTGAAATTAATATTCAACATATTCGTTCATGTGAAAATTTGGCTGATATGTTCTCTAAGGAATTACCAACGTCAACATTTGAGAAGTTGAGACAGAAGATTGGAGTGCGGCGTCTTCGAGAAATAAAGTAATGTTTTCATGAAGGGGAGTAAGATACGCGTTGTACTCTTTTTCCCTTAGCCTAGGTTTTGTCCCACTGGGTTTTCTTGGTAAGGTTTTTAACGAGGCAGCAAATAAAGCGTATTACAGATATGTGTACTCTTTTTCCTTCACTAAGAGTTTTTCCCACAGGGTATTTCTTAGTAAGGTTTTAACGAGGCATATTATCTATTTTTGGACATCAAGGGGGAGTGTTGTAAAACCTATAGTAATTGCGGATGTCCACTACTCACACTACTTTCACCCGTAATGTAAATAACCTCCCACTACTCATCACTATTATGATTGTAACTCCTACACCTCCATGATCCCTCCCCATGATCTTCCCCCATGATCTCAATTGTTAATGTCATGTTTAAAACAATCCTTTTGTCATCTTCTATGTAATAGTATAAATAAAGGCATGAAATGTGATATGGGATACACTTGAACACTTGATGAAATAAGAAAGTTATCTCTTCTTCTCTTATTCTACTTATCTTCGTGTTTTATATTGTTACTTTGAGCTACATTTCTTAATAAAAATATAATATTTTAAAAGGATTTTGATTTATAATAAATAGGGTGTATACCTTTGTTATATGAGGTAAAATTTCCAATTTTAATTAAAGATTAGGCTTAGCAACAGCGAAAGTATTTTTACACGTAGTGAACCAAGTAGGTATAAAGTTCATCCATATGCGGAGTTTCTTTTTCCCTTATTTAATTTTGTGTGTATATATATATATATATGTAGAGAGAGTCAACACAAAATTCCATGTTCCTATTAAAATTAATTTCAATAGTTGAGATTTTAATAAATGTTTTAACAAATGCAATGAAATATTGTACTCATGATATAACGTTCAAATTTAGCTGGTGAACTAATTCAATTGATGCACTAAATTCGAACTAATAAGAACCCTAATGCATTCGAATTTTATTTCTACTAGTTCTTATCAGTTAGGATGCTTCAGTTTCACATAGTTGTGATCTGTGAGGATAAAAAGGATTCGCAGCAGGTCTATGTAACAAAAGTAAGAATTCATTAATTTGTGCACATGAACAATTTCATAATATTACGAAGATTTCATCATTTGATTAAATTTTAGTTACAAATGAATCAGAATAAGGAAAAAGGATTATAACATTTAAAATTATATAATAACTTATAGTCAGTTTGGCCAAGCTTCTTTTTGGTCAAAAATATTTTCTTTTTTTGCCAAAAGTGCTTCCAAAGTGAAGTATTTGACCAAGATTTTAGAAGGAAGAAGTGTTTTTGAGTAAAAACATAAGCCGTTTTTAAGAATCACAAAAAAGTAGTTTCTTTCCAAAAAATATTTTTTTGAAAAGCAATTTTAAGAAAAATATACTTAGAAATACTTTTTAAAAGATTGATCAAACATTAATTGTTGCTCAAAAGTATTTTTTATAGTCAAACATAAAATTGCTTTTCGCTAAAAGTACAACAACAACCATAACAATGCCCAGTATTCCAGTAGTGAGGTCTGGGGAGAGTAGTATGTACGCAGACCTTACCCCTACGCCGAAGAAATAGAGAAGCTGCTTCCGAAATTTAAAAAAGTTATTTTTCAAAATAAATTATTTTTAAAAGCTTGGTCAAAATTGCAAAACAAATTTCCAGGAGATGTCGGAAATTTCCCTTAAAGAAAAAGACACAGAAATAGAAATATTCAGCCAAGCAAAATTTTTTCACGTGCGGTAAACGTGCACAAGCAGGGAAAGACCCGACCCAGGCAAGCAATATAACGAAGACGTTAACGGCCAGCAAACACTATGTTTAACCACCGCATCACGGCGTTTTCCAAAGGCGACCCATATTTATAAAGGGGGGAAATCCACAAGTACACGAAAGCACCTAACGCCTACTGGACATAAATAATTGAGGCCAAAATATTTGACCTTTCTTCCTTGTTCGTTCCTTCTCCCCTGCTATCTATAATTTTTCCAGAATTTAGCTGCTGCAGGTTATGGATGTAAGAACTTTGTTAAAGGTGGTTATAATCACGTGCTTAATCGCCTCTTCAACTGGTAGAGGTAATCAATCATAAGTGCTATACTACTTGCGTTGATTTGAATGTTCAATTTGCAAAAGTCATGAGTGCGATACGTCTAATTGGACTGTTTTTGCAATGCAATTACGTCTTAATAGGATTAAGTGAGATTAGATTATATTTTAGGAATTGTTAGTGGACGGATTGAAGACCGAACTGAGTTTCTGTACTGTGCTTTGGTCATGGAAGCTGAGATAAGATTTTGTTTTGAGTTTTGACAAGAAAAACTTCAGTCTTAATGTATAAAATATTCGCGGTTTATTTCAAAAGTATTCTACACCTATAATCAACAATAATTAGGTGTAGACGTACACAAGATAAGGCTATGATATTTGAAATTAGCATAGCTGATTCAAAGTCTGTACTGTCAGACATGGTAGTAGGATTCTGTTCTACATCTGTTGCAGCATATTAGCCAATACATGCATTTTAACCATATAGAGACTTCAACTTTTTTCTTTTGAAGAATTAAACAAAACACTTAAACGTATGTAGATCCCACAACTATTTTTTCAAGCAAATAAAGTGCAGTACAGATTTATTACAGTGGGAAGTACTTCAAAAATAGTAGGAATACTGGATATCTCATTAGATAAGAAAAAAAGAAATATGCTACAGATATTAGGATATGGTATTACAATAAATTACAAACTGACTACATAACATATTCTAAGAATATTTTTTATTGAACCACAGAACATCCAACAACAACAACCCAGTGGAATCCCACAAGAAGGGTCTGAGGAGGGTAGTGTGTGCGCAGACCTTACCACAGAACGTCCACAGAAATAAATTAGTTGTTGCATAAACCAAGTAACTCGACTCAGTAACATTAATCAACTGTAAGGACTAAGGACAATACAAGCTCAATAGTTCCTCTACTAACATCATGTCTTTTCTATCTTGCCCCCCTCTTGATTATTGCTGGCTTAGTATATAAACTCTTATCAAGACCCTCTCTAACAGTTTCTATTAGACCCAGGTTAACATTGGTTTACATTTCCCTTCATTGCTCATTCATGGACTGCCTAGCCTGGAAATTGAGGTCTGTACACATATTCAGTAATCCTCAGGCATAAATTGGAGATACTTGAGTTTGTTCACTTTTGACCCTTGGTAATGCATTTTTAACCAATAAGAAATTATTTCTTGACTGGGAAAAAGAATGGGCTAGGAATTGTTTAGGATGCAAGAGGAAGACAACAAGTTAATGAAGTTTATGACGAAGACTGATATTTTGGCCGAAATACCAGTTAAAACCTCCATTTACGGATAGTTCAGCTGAGACACTGGGCATATTGCTTATACTTTGTAAGCTTATTGTTGGGTTGAGTTACCGAGATGGAAAAGGTGATTTCCACTATGTATCTACAGGTACATAGTGGCGTCAATGGTTACTTTGAACTATGGCTACGGATAAATGGCTATTAAAACTCCTAATAAAATCAACCAAAAGTTCCAAAGAGAAACTAAAACGAGGTAACGATGGGCTCCTAGATAGGATTGTAAAAGCATCACTTGCTTGTTATGTATTTAAATGTAGTTTTTGTGCGTAACAATAAATTATTCCAATGCTGCATTATTTTTGTAAAGTGATAATTCACATGGTTGGTTATGATAACATATTCATAGATAGCTACTTACAGTTCAGTTTCTTTTTGGTTGTAGAACTCAAAGTGAAGGATCAAAGGACAATCTACAATCATACGCTTGCCACCATATTGGTGGAATATGCTGCAACGGTCAGTTTTGGTTACATTTTGAATAGATGAGTAGGATAGAGGGCAGAAATCTTTTAGTTGAAGGTTAATCCCTTACTTCTTTTCGATAAATGGTTGATGTGCTTAGCTGGTATCATAATGGCCAAAAGTAGACTCTTTCAATAAAAGAGGGATCAAAATCCCAAATTTACCAATTTCCTTCTGTGTACTTTTAGTTTCTATATTCGTTGAACTCTTCTTACTCGTTTTTGCTGCATGTGATTTGCGGTTAACATATTCCATACTTCACCAGTTCAGGCTGTTTTACCAGGGGAACATTATATTCATTCTTGTGACTTTCTCGCTGGACTGCTGTCACCTAGAGTTTAACAAAAATGACCTCTTTATTTGTAGGTCTATATCTCAGATTTGACAGAACTATTTACTTGGACATGCCCAAGATGTGATGATTTGACGAAGGTATTTTATTCCGATTGTTGTGTGTATATTCTTCAGGTTGAAGAGAAGCTTTATGTAAATTTCTAGGTGTATCTTTCTTATATGATTAATTTGTCGAAGCCTTCATCCTCTGCAGGGGTTTCAAATTATAGAGCTCATTGTTGATGTGAAGCGATGTCTACAGGTGAATATCAAATAGTGCAAAAGCATGTCTTGCTCATTCAGAGGAACTAGTTTGGTTTTAATTATTGGTTCCCATTGCAGGCATTTGTGGGGGTGGCTCCAGATCTTAATGCCATTGTAATTGCTTTCCGAGGCACTCAAGGAACCAGGTTTCCTTCTACTGAACCATACTCATATGTTTAATTTGACTGTATGGTAAATAAAAAATGTCTTATTGTGCAGATAAGAAGTCTAACTAATTTATTGAGATGGATATCTTAAGAGATATATATGAGTGATCCTACATTACACCAGCTTAAAACCATTTTTCTTGAAAGGAAAAACTTTTGGGGGTCGTTTGGTTGGGGTGTTAGGAGATATAATCTCCTTATAAAAATCAGCATTTGTTTAAACAATATTTGGTTAGGATTTGAGGAGATTTAATCTGCACATAAAAATCAACATTAACTACAGTGTTTGGTTGGGAATCTATGTATTATTTTATGAGGAGAGACTGGTAAGTTGACGACCGTTCAGGTCTAAGTTGTGAAGTGTTGCTCAAGAGATTCTCTTTGATCGTGCTGAGTAATTATGCTTAAACGGCTATCCATTGGTCGATCTGCTCATGCAGAAAGTTGCATTATGTCGTATGCATGTTCAACATATTGATAACTAAGTTCCGCGTGCTAACTTTTTGGATACAGCATACAGAATTGGATTGAGGATCTATACTGGAAGCAGCTTGATATAGATTATCCTGGAACGGAAGATGCAATGGTGAGTGTATGACACTTAAAAATCTCTTCTGCTTCTGATTTGCTATTAACCTTCTTTTCTGCAGGAAGATTAAAGTCAGTTTTGCATCTTACAGGTGCATCATGGATTTTATTCTGCTTACCACAATACAACATTACGCCCTGGAGTGCTAAGTGCTGTTAAAACAGCAAAAGACCTATATGGAGACATTCCTATTATGGTGACAGGGCATTCAATGGGAGGGGCCATGGCTGCTTTTTGTGGATTGGATCTCACAGTATGTTCAAAGACTTGCTGTTACTTTATACTATAACTTTCATCGTCCATATATTTTGACTTGCTTTTTCCGATTTGATAGCTCTTGTTATAGAATACCCTTGTAACCATTATTGCTTTTGCACTCCCTTAGTAATATTTACATGTCTCAATTTCCCGCTTTGCTTCACGAATTATGATTTGATAAGATGTGTTTTCTCTCTCTCACTTTTTTTTATTGATCAGTTGTAGATGTTTGTACTTATAATTAGAAAAGGTGAAATTGTACATGCTGCTCGATGGATCTTGTGACATAACAGAGAACCTAAAAGAATGGAAAAAACAGCTAGTGGAGTTCTATTGATTTATTTATGTATGTTTATTCCAGGTAAATCTTGGCTCGCGGAATGTTTCAGTTATGACATTTGGACAACCTCGAATTGGCAATGCTGCTTTTGCGTCCTACTATAGCAAACGGGTGCCAAATACAATTCGTGTCACACATGAACATGATATTGTGCCTCATCTGCCCCCGTACTATTACTATTTCCCTCAAAAAACTTATCATCATTTTCCTACAGAGGTAACTGTTTTACAAGCATAACCCAAGTATTTAATGCCTTATTTAAACTGCATGAAATCTAGCTGTCATTTCAGTACCTGGAAAAGTTTTAACGAATGAGATAACTCTGTAGTGAAAGTCTTGAGTAAGTGATTTGGCTATTCAAAAGTGCCAATATATTTTTTCAAGATAACAGTGTAACAAGCAGAAGAGTATTGACTTGTATATGAATCCTTGCTATCCGTTTAAAGATTATTACTCCCTCCGTTTCAATTTATGTGAACCTGTTTGACTGGGCACGGAGTTTAAGAAAAAATGAAGACTTTTAGAATTTGTGGTCCTAAACAAGTCCAAATGGGGCCCAGAGTATTTGTGTGGTTATAAAAGCTTCTCATTAAGGGTAGAGTTGTAAGTTTAAGCTAAATTGTTACCAAATTTAGAAAGGGTTCATTCTTTTTGGAACGGACCAAAAAGGAAATAGGTTCACATAAACTGGAACAGAGGGAGTATATATTTTTATACATTTGTTGTCTGTTGCTCGCAATTCCATTTTCTGCTCAAATAAATTGAAAGTAAGCTGTCATTGGTTCTGTAAGTTTTATCAGTTTAATGGTTGTTGTCATAAATTTATCCTTGGCTTTCTTCTTTTAATTGAAATCTCTGATATTGCAGGTCTGGCTCCATAACACCGGCCTTGGAATTCTTGCTTATACAGTTGAAAAGGTCTGTGATAATTCCGGGGAAGACCCTTCTTGTAGCAGGTAACTTTTCTCGGGCTTATCTGTAATCAGTTTATAAGACATCTGCAAATTGGTATACAGTAAAGATAGTTCATGCTGTTCGGATAAAGACAGAGGAGAAATGGTTATAGCAAATTATTAGATATGAGCACTCTGCGTTATTGTCAAAATATGGATAATGTTTTTCTTTCTTCAGTCAAAACTCAAAAGCACTGTTCATCAGCACATTCTTGTTGCTGAAATCTATTTACTTACTTTTAACAATCTTTTAGAAAAAAGGGCGTGTTCATTCTACAATTGTGAAGAATAAAACTGTAAAATGTCTGTGAAGCACTAGCACAAAAAGTTCACCTGGAATGAAAAAAAGGGGACAGAAAGGATAAAGATGAAAATTAAGCTGTAAAAGAATTGATACTTTGTCCTACTAAATTAGGGAAGAAAACTGAAGGGTGTTTTTTCTCTTTTCAACAATCACATTTGTAAGAGCTTACTTGGTGTTTCTAAGTATAACTGTTTTACATCTCTCGTTGTCAGATGGTTCTGAAGCTAATCCTTAAAAAGGGATGACCTCATTCCTGTTTTGTTTGACCTAACCGCTATGCATCGTTCCCCTTGATCTTTTAATTACTCTTTATCATTCTTTTATTCAATTGTTGGTGATTGGTGTAGTTTAATTTAGTTTATAAATCTATTTCTTTCATATTTCAAAAATACTACATCAACCTCCAATGGTAAAACTGAAGATTAATCAAGTCAACCCTCCTTAACTGAAGTAGGTCTTACGATTCAGTTCGGAGATAGTAGTTCAAAAGGATTCTTAGAGAGAAGTTAATTATTTTCCAGTTCACCTTCTTCTTACCGAAGGATTATGGTATCAATATTGATTTTGAATATCTCATAGCCAGACGCTTATAATACTCTGTGAAAAATGTTCAGTTACGAAAGAATAGGCTGGACAGACTCGTTCTGATTGTCTTTTCTGTAGTTGAAAACTCGCTGAATTTTGCTTAGAGCTGTTGCCCTGTATGCTAATTTTCTAAAATACTCCCAGGTCAGTGGCTGGTAACAGTATTAAGGATCATCTGAGATATTATGGTGTAAGATTAGGAGGTGAGGAGGATCCAGGATTCTGCAGAATTGTGATGGATCGTGGTCTTGCTGCACATGGCACAGTAGATGTTGACGGAAATGTCATCCTATCCAGAGATATTCCTGCTTCTGTTTTGAGGATGAATGTGGAATCTAATGAGCAAGGCAGATCGGTATAGAGATTTTTTGGGATCATTACTTGGCTTCGCCAAGATTGGAGAGGAGGTGAGCGGAGTTTCCTCGTAAGGCTTAAATTGAGCTGTACCCAGTCATTGAGCTGTACCCAGTCAATTGTGCAGTTTGGTACTACGCTGGGGAGATCATATATATAGTTCATTTTTATCTTATATGTACATATCACTCATGTAAATAACAATAAAAACTCACTATTGTAAATTATAATGAACTAAGCTCAATTTAAGAAACGGAAACAATGCTCAAATCTGAACTCCATTTCATCCATCAAGCCATCCAGCGTTACACTAATGAGAGCTGTTTAACTGTTCCAACTCGGAAATAGAAGTAACGAAATTACAATTGAAAGTAATACAGTTCCAAGTAGGAGTAACCAAAAGTAAAGTAATCAGAAACCTCGAACAACTCAATAAATCTACCGTCAATAGCAAGAGTTCCAATCTGCATATGATCTGGCGAGAAATATCCTTGTATAAAGTGTTAGTTTATCATAAATTTGGAAAATTGCATGCTATAATTATTTAGTATAGATAAAAAAATTCCTACGGTATTTATGCATGCGTTTGCCGAAGTTGGTTACGTTACTTCATATTTTGAGATATATAATACATATAATAGTCATGAGATATATAATACTTATAATTAGTCATCATATATTACGTCAAACTAATAGTGCAGGACACAAAAATTTTATTATTTAAATATGACTAAATAAATTTAATAGTTATTTAATTTGTAACTGTTAAATGTTGAAATTGGTGTGCGGGTAAGCATTTTTCACTAGGGGAATGTCAACTGTCAACCAACTACCTTGGTCAATGGCATTGCGTATCAAAACTGTTTGTGTAAATGCCCATAACAGCGTTATAACGTCCTTTATTTTCCCTCGAGTTCGTTTCACTATTCGCCAATGAATGGTGCTCGTCGGTTTGTCTCCCATACCCCGCGAGCCGATTAACTACCTTATCCTCTCCCCCACCCCCTTTTTGGATATTTGCTTATTTCCATTTATGGTATTTATTATTGCAATATTTTAATTGGGCAGTCTCAATAATTATATCCCAGCGTATAAAGGTCCTTGTCATTTAGGAGATGGCATTTTCAGTTTGATTGAATCTTGGGTTTTGAGCCTATCCCCTTTTGTCTCCTCTTAGACACCCCCACCCCACCTATTCCTCTGTCAATTCTCCTTCAGCTAGATTAACATTTGGGGGTGGTGGGTGTACTTCGTTTCACTGCAAATATGGAAGACTCCTGCAATGAACGCCTTGATTATGGCAAAATGGGTTATGGGTACGAAAAACAAAATGTATATTTATGCATGCTTAGGCTTTAGTGTGCCTATATTTTAACAACAGATTTATAAGCCGTAACATTTATTTGTCTTAAAGTCACATGGTATCCTGATTAATTGATGATTCGTGGGTATGCGATATAGATGCAAGCACTACAGGAGAAGATGCAGGATCAGGGCACCTTGTTGCAATGAAGTCTTTGACTGTCGCCATTGTCACAATGAAGCTACGGTAACTTTATTACAGAATCCCTTTCCGAGTCTTAAATTTACTCACTGATGAATGCTGTATTATATTGGTGTGCTTGTTGCTGCCCTTCCTTTTACCTTTCCTAAGCCGAGGTATCGGAAACATCCTCTTTGCCTTCTTGAAGGTAGGGGTAAGGTCTGCGTACACACTACCCTCCCCAGACCCCACTTGTGGAATTACATTGGGTCTGTTGTTGTTGTTGTTGTTATGAATGCTGTATTATCAATCTGATGGCAGTTTGTCACGTTTGCGCTGTGTTTATTTCATCAGAGCTTGTTGCACAATATATTTGATCGACATGAATTAGTTCGAAATGATGTCAAGCAGGTAATAATCACATAGTAGTAGTTATTTTTCTTCCACTGTTTTTGCCTCTTATTATTCTTCTATATTAAGGTTCTTACATGAGTTGTGTGTTCATTTGGCACTTCAGGTCATTTGCTCAGTTTGTGATACAGAACAGTCGGTACGTGTCTCTTGATTTGAATATAGTTTATTTTTTCTTGTTTGGTGCTATTTGAATTGATGATCTAATGTCTTTCTCGTTTCCAATTTAGGTTGCTCACGTTTGTACAAATTGTGGTGTAAATATGGGAGAATACTTCTGTCAAGTGTGCAAATTCTTTGATGATGATGTAATTATCCTGTGCTTCTACTGAATGAGATTCATTATTATCCCTAATCCTTATATTAGTTCAATGCCCATAGTTCTTTAGGATTTTACACTTTTAGAAATTACTTTTTCGATGTACTTATTCTATAACTCCATTGTTTCAGTTAGACAAAGGGCAGTTTCATTGTCATGATTGTGGAATCTGCAGGTCAGTGTACAATACTACAATATATCTCCGTGCATTGGTAGCTTTATCTGATACTAATACTTTGGTGCTTGGAAGTCTGCTAATTAGAATATTATCTTTTGCGCAGAGTTGGTGGCCATGAGAACTTTTTTCACTGCGCTAGATGTGGTGCGCATTACAATTTCCTATTATTATAACTTGAGGCTCCATGGAAATTTCTTCTCTGTTTTTCTTGAATTTGTTAAGTATATGTTTCTTTGATTTTTCGTCATTTGCTAAAGCACGAAGCTATATGTGATTCTCTAACTACGGGACTCCATTTTCCATTCATTCCTTTTCATTGACTTGTCCTGTGGGAATGAAGAAAGAATTACTAGTGAGTAAAATCATGGGGCAGTACAGTGATTTATCTTTTGGTCAGATCATTGTCTTAAGGACAACCATATTGGATAAATATTACTCTATAACTGCTATTCACTGGTTCAGATTGTTCATCTAACATTTAACCCAGTTTCTTTATTTGGGAGCGTGCTTGTACATTAGAAGCAAGGAACTTTGTATTCTTTGCTTTATTGTATACACTACTAGAAAATTATCACCGTAAATATTTAGATTTTATTTACACACTTGATACTAGTTGAAACACGATTGCCACAAACATATTTTCTTGTTCTTATATCTTTCTGTCTTTTCTCCCTTTCGAAGTGTGGAATATTGGAGTTTTGTCCCAGTATTTCCTAGAGTTCTCGTTGTGAAACTCCATCTAAGTATGCTTTAATTGGTTGACTAAGCTCCATGAGATGTCACTGGTTAATTAGTTGGTTGGACAGTGCAAGCAGAGAAGATAAAGATGGAGAAAAGATTAAAGCTTTTCAAATTTGTTTCTCTTGCAAGGAAATTTTCCAGCTAAACTCAACTTTTACTTTTCTTCCTTCTCTTTTTGGTATTCTCTCAACAATAGGCATTCAAATTATGGTGTCGCTTCTTCTATCTTTATCATTTCATTGCTGCAAATGCTATTGCTAATTCACCTTATGCCGTGCATTCCGTAGGCTCTTGCTATTCAGTTAGTTTACGTAATAACCACTCATGTGTAGAGAACTCCATGCGGCATCATTGTCCTATTTGTTATGAGGTATTGTATATTAAGTGTTATTCCTTTGCTGTGGATTCTACCGCCAATTCTTTTCATTCATGATGCCATAATTTTTGAAATGCAGTATCTCTTTGATTCTCCTAAGGACACAACAGTACTGAAATGTGGGCACACGATGCACACTGAGTGCTATCACGAGATGATAAAGCATGACAAGTAATCAGTTTATTTTATCTATTTATGCTGTTCGTTTAGTTCTCATTACATAAAAGGGAAATTTTTTATGTTATCTGACTTTCATTCTATCTGGCACTCAGAAGCTGCTGTCCCATATGTTCCAGATCAATCATAGATATGTCCAGAGCTTGGAGAAGAATGGATGAGGAGGTAGGTTCTTCGAGCTGATGCATATTAAACTCTAAGAGGTCGATCGAGTCCAATTTCCCGAGGATGCATATTATCATGTAAAAAAAGCCATTGCTTAACGAATTTTGCATGGCGGTTTACCTCTTTTAAACAAGCTCAAAAAGTTGTTTTTTCTTAATGTTCAAACTTATATTGTAGGTAGAGCATTAGTTTTGCATCAGAGTCCAATTTCTTGAGGATTCATGTCTTTTTTTGTAGAAATTCTCTGCACACATGAAAGCTTAGCAAAAGTTAATTACTCTTCCTAAGCATATTTCAAAATTTTCTGTTACTTCAAAAGGGCTCAAACCTCAGAACAGGTTTAGCATGCTTGCAAATGTTTCAAAACCTTTTTGCTTTTCTAGTTTCAGTTAACAAAGTTTGTGCTGGAACAAAATGGTGTTATTCTACTTGTATCTCCCAAGATGAACTTATGGTTATGGGAATGGTACTCATTTCCATGTAGTTTTTTTGCTTATCATTATATCTTGTGAGACTCGTAGTTACTTTGGTTGGTTTCTGTTGAATAAATGTTCTGTATTGTAGATAAAGTCCTAACTCCCCCCACAAGAAAAGAAAAAGAAAACAAAGGAAAAGAGAAGAAGTTATCCTCAAAAGAATTATTACTGGAGTGCTCATTGACCTTATTGCATGCATTCATAATCAAGAGCCAAAGTCTTGAAAATATTACTACAGCAGTGTTAAGTGGACTTAACACTGGGGAGTACTAATGCAACTTGAAAATAGTGTTATGTTTAACTTGTTTTCAAGAATCTCGTACATCTAGAACTCATATCCTGCCTCAACTTCCAAATCTTTTCTTTCAGATTGAAGAGACAATCATGCCTGAAGATCCTAGATTCAAGAAGGTACTTGCGCTTTTTTCTTAACCCCATATTTGTGGCCTTGAACTGTTTTGGCAGTCTATTCCAGAGGGCTCAACAGTGATGCATTGTTTAAGTTTCTGCAGTGCCTTGATGCATCGTTTTAGCTTGTGTGAAGCTGAGATGATAAACGCCGACTTCTTATATTTATATAAGAAATAATTGAAGTTCATGCTTTGGTCTTCTTATACTTAGGTTTCAATTTTTGTCATATTTGCTTCTTAACTATGCTGAATTCATCTAAACTGATTACTTTGCAGGTTTGGATTCTATGTAATGACTGTAATGATACAACCGAAGTATTCTTCCACATTATCGGGCAGAAATGTCGACACTGTGAATCATACAACACCCGTATGATTGCACCTCCCGTTCTTCCTCAATAACAATTTTCTAACTCGGAAAACTGAATGTTGCACTGCTGGAACCTGGTGCCAACGGGCGAGAAACAAGAGGACGATTTATGGTGTGATCTTCACCAAATTTGATTCTTTCCTATCCCTGCTACATGATTTGCCGCCATTGCATCACAACTCAACTTGCATTTCGGATGCATTTGTACTATAATTCTTTTTCCAATGATGTGGAGTAGAAAACCCAACTGATTTGATACTGGACTTATATGTATCATATATGATTTATGTTGCTCCCAAACGCACATGCAAGTATATGCGGTCGTCAAGTAATAAAGTGACTAAAAGTCGGATGTCGAACCCACGAGGACTTGTGATTAACTATTAACTAAATTAGACTATCCTAACTATCTAAACAACAATTAAAACTAGAAGTATTTGATTCTAAACTAATTAAAATAAATAAAAACAAATAATGAACTTTGAACAGAGGAAGACCAGATTTTTAAGTTATCAATATGATGAAAACGATCTAGGGTTATGGGCTATCTAACATTCCTATTGTATTCTTCAATTGAATTGACTAACTAATTTATCTAGTTTAATGGTTAACAGGGTTAATATTGCTCATAAGAATCTGTCGAGTTCTTACTCGCCCATTCAAGCTAACATAATGCCTATATGTCTATGGAGTTAGAACTAACAAGAATGCGTTTATAGTTCCTGTAAATCAACCAAGCAAGGCAATTAGGTATATGTCTATCCTAACCGCGAATCTGTTCCCCGATGCTCAGGTTCAAAAACTTGCTTTATTCAATCCTATATGCAATCTAGAATTCCCACTTTCGAGTTCAATTCTAGATTCGTAGATAGTATTCAATTGGTGATCAAGCAATCAAATAATTAAGAGTAGGATTGAATAAATAAACTAGTATGATAAACTAAGAAATCAAAATCAATATCCGAATAACAATAATCATGAAAGAACCACAACCCTAGAACGTGAAGTTTAGCTCCACATAGACATGGTAGCCAAACAACAATACAAAGAAACATAAAATTACAAAGTTTGGTGGAAGAAGGATTAAATTCGGCCTCCACGGCGGCTCTGTGCTCTCCCTAGGTCGAATTCCCTTCAAAAGTGTGTTAGATGTATGTTAGATGACCTAAAAGGGGTATTTTTGGCCTATATATTGCGTACAAAAGTCGTGGGCCAAAGTTCTCCTAATCCTAGTCCGAATCAGCTTCAGGGATTGATGCTGGGGTGGATGCTTCGCATCCACCTCGTCCTCCGCTTCTCAGCTTCGCATGCTAAGGTGGATGCTTCGCATCCACCTTTTGTTCCTCCATCTCAGCTTTGCCCAGGTGCGAATGCTATGGGGATGCTATGGGCTGACTTCACTGCTAAGGGGTGCACCAAGTATCTTCCTTCCAACTCTTTTCCTCTAGTTGGAGCACCTTTTCTTCATATTTTTGCACTCCAAACACCCTAGATCATCACACACAACTCCATTAGTCGTAAAACCAATAATTAGACCATGTTGGGCATTTTAAACACCAAATAGCAACATAAAGCGATTAAAACATGGGTAAAGTAATATCAAAACATATAGAAATATGCCCAACATCACCACCCCACGCTTAAACCTTTGTTCGTCCTCGAGCAAAGTAGAATCAACCCACAACCGATCGAACAAAATTAAGCTTATCGCTATCAAGCCACACATTTCAATTAAGCTTAAGCACCCATGACTTTGGTTGATACCAACAATTAGCCCCTTGCATATGCAATCACATACACTTCCCTTTTTCTTATGCCAACTTCAAAAATATTCAAACAAAGACAACATACTCATAACAATCCTAGCCTCAAAAACCAACTCAATATCACAATGCACTCATGGCTTGAACACCCAACATCATAGAGAGAAGTCTAATAATGTTACCTATCCCTTGTGAAACCATGTGCCCTCTCAACAGGAACAAGAGAGTAAGTTGAATCCACGCATTCGAATCTCATGACCTCATATAATTTAAGGACTCATATATATCAAAGAAAAAATCTCACCCTCACAAAGAAGTCACATGCATGCAATTGGTACCATAGGCTTGCCCATAATGTAAATCTCTACTAATGTAAGCCCACTCGATCTAAAATTAATTAAGACCTTTTTGTGGTTGTAATGTGGGCCAAGGGATGTGTATGACATATATAGGAATAGTGACTAACCCTCCTAAGCACTTTAACACATCACATAATCAACTTTAAGCGCAAATTCTTCAATCCACTTCACTTTCACAAACAATATTACCCCCAAAAATATTCTCTTCTTATTTAAGCACTACTTTAATTCATACCCATTAGCAAGAACAAGACAACAATTTATTCATCTCTATTTTTCCCTTTTTTTTCCAGATTATTCTTTTTTTTCCTAACGTATTTTTTTTCAATTTCCGCTTGTGGTGTATTATTTTACAAACCAAGTGCACCTTTCTTCCTTTCATTGGTTCCACTCAAAAGCCACCCTTCACTTAATTCTACCCACATGGCTCACTTTTGCACACTTCCTGTGGCTTTGCTCCCTATGCTCAAAATCCTACAAAATAAAACAACACTACAAAAATAATACAATAAGAAAAAAAATCAAAAATAAAAAGAAAGCAGTAAAGCTGGGTTGCCTCCCAACAAGCGCCTAATTTAACGTCGCGGCACGACGTGAACCACTTTTCCTCCACCTTGAACTTATGAATTGTACCCCTAACATGGCATCCGGTCTGCGGCTATGCTCCAGTTGTGGGGCTACAATAATAACCAGGCCAAGTAATAATTTTTTTACTGTGCACTTCTTGACCTTTAGATGAGGAATGTAATTTTTGCTTTTTGGCACAACAAATTCAAGAACATAGGCACTCTCATCCTCACTCTTTGACCCCCCTCATTGGCTCAGATGGCTCGATTACTATCTTACTATCTAAACACAATGTAGAAAAATGATTGGAATGAGGTCTAATGTGCCCTAACTCATGAATTTTACTACTATTTGCATCCCCATATTTACATACACACAAGTCTCCCAAAGTAATGTTATCTACTCCCTCATATGACTCTAGATCACTCTTCTCAACATTAGTATCCTCAAGAAAAATATGGTCTAGTGATTGGTATTCTCGTTTTAGCTCCTCAATTTGGCCTAGAAGATTTTTTTCAGCTTCACACAACTCATTATTAAATTGTTGGGCTTTACATGCATCAACCTTTGCACTCAAATCTGCATCTAAGTTATGTACAGCCAAGCCAAAATTATCAATTTTATGTGCAATTTCATCTCTCTCCTTAGACCAATCATTCACCAATGTTGTTAGAAGACAACGTCGTTCAGCATATTCGCCTAATCGAGAATATCCATCCCAATACCAACCCTTACTCCCATATTCAAATTTAGACCTCCCAGAGTTCAGGGCATGAGAAGACCAAAAAGACAGGCCATAAAAGTCTTTGGTCAACCAAGCATCTTCATCAATAACATTACCTCCGGATATTTCATCCCCAAATGTCATGTTGAGAGAACTAGAAACACACTAAGAGAAAAGTCAAATAGTTATAAAAATAAAAAAATATACAAAAAAATAGGACAAAATTAAAAGTCTAATCGAGAAAAACAGCTAATTTCTAAGTCCCCGGCAACGGCGCCAAAAACTTGTTGCTCCCAAAAGCAAACGCAAGTATACGCGGTCGTCAAGTAATAAAGTGACTAAAAGTCGGATGTCGAACCCACGAGGACTTGTGATTAACTATTAACTAAATTAGACTATCCTAACTATCTAAACAACAATTAAAACTAGAAGTATTTGATTCTAAACTAATTAAAATAAATAAAAATAAATAATAAACTTTGAACAGAGGAAGAACAGATTTTTATGTTATCAATATGATGAAAACGATCTAGGGTTATGGGCTATCTAACATTCCTATTGTATTCTTTAATTGAATTGACTAACTAATTTATCTAGTTTAATGGTTAACAGGGTTAATATTGCTCATAAGAATCTGTCGAGTTCTTACTCTCCTATTCAAGCTAACCTAATGCCTATATGTCTATGGAGTTAGAACTAACAAGAATGCATTTATAGTTCCTGTAAATCAACCAAGCAAGGCAATTAGGTATATGTCTATCCTAACCGCGAATCTGTTCCCCGATGCCCAGGTTCAAGAACTTGCTTTATTCAATCCTATATGAAATCTAGAATTCTCACTTTTGAGTTCAATTCTATATTCGTAGATAGTATTCAATTGGTGATCAAGCAATCAAATAATTAAGTGCAGGATTGAATAAATAAACTAATATGATAAACTAAGAAATCAAAATCAATATCCGGAATAACAATAGTCATGAAAGAACCACAACCCTAGAACGTGAAGTTTAGCTCCACATAGACATGGTAGCCAAACAACAAATCATACAAAGAAACATAAAATTACAAAGTTTGGTGGAAGAAAGATGAAATCCGGCCTCCACGGCGGCTCTGTGCTCTCTCTAGGTCGAATTCCCTTCAAAAGTGTGTTAGATGTATGTTAGATGACCTAAAAGGGGTGTTTTTGGCCTATATATTGCGTACAAAAGTCGTGGGCCAAAGTTCTCCTAATCCTAGTCCGAATCAGCTTCAGGGATTGATGCTGGGGTGGATGCTTCGCATCCACCTCGTCCTCCGCTTCTCAGCTTCGCATGCTAAGGTGGATTCTTCCCATCCACCCTTTGTTCCTCCATCTCAGCTTTGCCCAGGTGCGGATGCTATGGGGATGCTATGGGCTGACTTCACTGCTAAGGGGTGCACCAAGTATCTTCCTTCCAAGGTTGGATGCATCGCATCCAACCTCTTTTTCTCTAGTTGGAGCACCTTTTCTTCATATTTTTGCACTCCAAACACCCTAGATCATCACACACAACTCCATTAGTCATAAAACCAATAATTAGACCATGTTGGGCATTTTAAACACCAAATAGCAACAAAAAGTGGTTAAAACATGGGTAAAGTAATATCAAAACATATAAAAATATGCCCAACATCAATTTAATTATTGTAGTGCTCGAAGGGAGTACATTTTATTCTTTAAAAATCAAAACAAAGTTTACATTATAGCACTATTGTCTTAAAATTGCCCAAGTGGATGAAGGTACTACGATTCATGTAAACCCCGACGAGACGGATATTAACATATTTAAAATATTAATTACTGGTTATCCAATATTATCCACTAAAAGATAGGTTAGATAACGAACTTTTTAAAAATGAGTCAAATGG